TTTATTGTTATGAAATTATGGAAACTTGTTTACGGCGATAAAGTTGGTGAATTAACAGGTTTATGTTACAAAAAGTGTTCGGAACTAGCTGCGAAACCAGATTTGTTATTTATAAAATTAAAAATCTCGATCAAACTATTGCAGTGCTTTGGAATTGTTTTTCTTTTATTTATTTACTGTCAGTTGGCGGAATCCTTTGACCAAAATAATCTGGGCCCCTCACCCCCAGCCAACAAAAGTCATTCCATAATATATATATATCCTAATTATTAATAATAATAATATTATTAATAAGGCTTGAATTTTTGAACCTCTTTTTTTTTAATATATATTGGGGATCTCATTAAAAAATTGCAATTATCATTATTTGATAGGGAAGAATGCGATACTATCAACACATTGTGATGCCATGTGATACTTTACATTTTCTTCTGCAGTAACATTTCTTGTGCATTAACAAAAATGAATCTATCCCATGACCAAAAAAACTCCAAAAGGACGGCTTTTTAATAAGTCTGGATTTACAACTTTGTTCTTTCCGTATACAACCACTTTAGAATTTGTATATAGATTTTTACCTTATGCAAAAAATTTTCCTTCCGTTAAAAAAAAAAAGTATATATATATAGCAATAAAGTTAAATAATAAAAATAAAAATAAAAATAAAAAATAAAAGAAAAAAAAAGAATTACCCCTGTTAAACCTTTTGAATACATGGATAACATAACATGTTCGTTACCATCGATCAATCACATGACTTCAAAACAAATATTAATGACATCATCTCTAGTTAGATGGTAAGTGATAAATAAGGAGTGTTTTGAAATTTTTAATTTTTTGGAATTTGCGAATCCACCTTTTCCCGGTTTCTTTTTTATTTTCTTTTTTTCTCCTTTTTTTTTTTTCTTCCTTGATAGAAGTTAATGAAATAAAAAACAAATTATAATAATTTAAGTGATATGTTCGATTTTAGCGGCCACAAGGCGGTTGATGAGTCCAAAGAAACGCTTCCGCCATTATCGGTTTTGTTGCATCATTCTCATCCGACTTCCGAAAGTTTAACAGAAAATAGACTAGATGCTTGTCAGGATTCTGCAAAAATCCATCAATCTCCAAATAATTCACCTCATGCTCGAGGACATTACAATATCATGCGTCAAGAAGATCTCGAACGGCAACATGTTCAACAGTTACCAGATTCATCCTCACCTTCGTTTTCGACTCCCAACGATGACGGCGTTCATTCGTCACGCGTATTGTCGGACGTTCGTTTACCTTCTATCAATCATGTTTATCCACCACAACAATCGATAAATGCACCTTTGCATCATGAAAGACCTCTTCAATTGCAACAAAGTCGTTCGGAAACTTTTGGTCAAAATAATTTATCTCCTATATGGTCAAGACAACAAGCTCCTCAGCAGTCGCCAAGGCAATCAGCTTCTGGCTCACTTCATAATTCTAGTCCTAATGTAAAACCTGTACAAAATCCCGTCCGATTTGTTAATAACATTCATCCACCAGAATATATTCATTCTAATTCTTTTGCAAAGAATTCTTCTCAATCTTCCGCTTTGAATTCACAAAACTTTGAGAAAATCTTGGCAGATATGCAAAAGGTGATTATATAATTTAATAATTGTTATTAAAGTTCAAATATTATTAAAAAATATTGTAAAAAAATATTATTAAAAAATATTGTTAAAAAATATTGTCAAAAAATATTGTCAAAAAAAAAAAAAAGGTAATAACAAGTCTTTACATATCAATTTTCCTTTAGATAACTGAACATTGCTCTTTGATTAGCCAATTTGCTGCGCAATATGGTGATTATCGAATCCAAATGAATAAATTTGGACAATTTTCTCCAAATACGTGGACCCCCAACCACGGTATGTCCCCGGAAGCTCAAGTTCCGGAAATGATAAATAAAGCATATGAAATTCTGAGTGTGTTGAATAATATCAAAAGTGATCTTGGTCAGACTACTTCGGTATGTTAAATATATATATATATATTTGAAAAGCATATTTGGTATATTTGGTATGTTATATCTTCTAATCTTTTTGAACATTCAGAGTGATCAAGAAACGATAAACCTTATTAGAACAAAGAGAACTACCGTTGGCCCTTCAGCAACGAGAACAAAATATCGGAAGCGAAGTGTAAATTCTCAATTAATCTTATCAATATCAAAAATGGGTTTCTAATTTAATGCCACGGAAACCAATTCATGTTTTTTTTTTCTTTTTGTGATATTTAGAAACGTGCGGCACCACCTGGAAGATGTCACTCTTGTAATATATCGGAAACTCCCGAGTGGCGTCGAGGTCCTGATGGTGCTAGAACTCTATGTAACGCTTGTGGTTTACGTAAGTTTCAAATAAATTAAGTAAATGCTAGTACTATATTAGTCACACATAAGTTTATATTAATTGTAAATCATTATTATTTATTATTTCTAGATTTTGCAAAATTGACTAGGAAGAGAGCTCTTACGGCAATGCATCAACAGTCTATTCAACCGCAACCTAAAATCCATCGCGGTAATTCTGTTCTACCGAATTCATCCACAATGACACAACCACCTCCGTTAATTCTTCCACAACCAAAACCACCGATGAATATGATGGGGGCATTGCAACTTTCGACACCTCACTCTAACCCATTGATTTGACATAAACGTATTATAAAGTGGCATAATTGAACATCTTCGATTAATAAACGAACGAACGATTCACTGGCTTAACTGGCAAAACTTGTATAAACACAAATCATAATGAACAAAAAAATTTCGATTTTATATAAGATGGTTACATAAATTTGGCGATAATTTGTATAATATTAGAGGTTATTTCGTCGTACCATCTTTTATTCGTCAAAAAAAAAAAAACTTTTTTTTTTTTCTTTTCATTTTTGTAGATATGTTAGACTATGAATCACCATTTCATTAATTCACACACACACCTTTTAAACTTTTAAACCAATTAAGATTCTTTTTCATTAATGGCTAAATCTTCGATTAGCCAAACACCTTGTATGATATGAAATTTTTTTTTTTTTTTGGCATGTTGAAAAACTTTATGAACAAACACAACAAAATTAAAAATCAGGATTCATCATTTTTGTAAGTTTATATAAAATATAAGGTTATCATCGTTATGTATAAGGTTATGTATAAGGTTATCGTTATTACGTATGTATAAGGTTATCTTTCGATAACGATGTTATCAAATATATCATGTGACGCATGGATCAGAATTGATACTGTGGAGAGAATAAATGATATCGTTTCACAAACACTAACAAAGTATCACGCAAAATCGACGTCAAAATATCACATCCTATTTCAATGAAGATCTCGCTTGACGGGACGAATCGTTAGGTCCTGATCAATGGTTCTCGAGTCGTAGTCAATTCGCCATATATTTATAAAATAATTCGGACCACATGAGTATAACCAGAGAAACCATTTTATACTTATTAATTTACCCAAAGTTTTGGCTTGCAGAACGGCGAATCCCAATATGTTTAACAATTAAACAGCGAATTTGGCCTTTTTGTGATATACTAATCCAAAGTTCTTTGTTAAAAAATTATATTGTGTAACAAAAAGGAAAAAAAAGCCGAAATAAAACTTTACATTATATTCGCTCTTAGTTATATACAGTAATTGACAACATAAATTATATACCAATACTCTGTTACTTTTACAATGCTAAATATTATCGGAATATTAAAATTACCCGCGCATTTGGAGAATATCTTGATGAAAATACAAAAAAAAAGTTTATATTTGTGACTCGTTAATGAAACGTACCTATGATCTATTTAGTATTCATAAGAGCAGTTCTTGTCTAAATATTAATATTGAATGTTGCGGCTGATGCCGAGATTGGCTGATGCTGTGGATTGAATCTATTTAATAAGTTTAGAGTTGTTGGAGTGCAGTTTTTCGTAGGGTTAGGCTAGGATTTGGGCTAGAGTTATTAATAAAAAGGGTATATACTTTTTAGTAGCCAAATAGCATCACCAAGACATAAATTTGACGTATTATTAATTTTATCCGTTTAAGAATAAAATATCCCTTTTTTATTCTTTAAATGGAACAAACGTATTTTATAAATGTAAAACTAACAAGAATCTAGGCAAGTAACGAGTACAGTAAATAATTTGACAATAATCTAACCAATTTTGATAATTTAGAGTTTATTTTAATTCTACGTACGTACGTACGTACAAATCTATTTAAAATTATCAAAATTGATTAGGTTGTATGTGCACACAGTTTAAAGATACCAAATCTATCGACCAATTCTATAATTGTATCTTTACAACAATACTTTATTCAAAACTTTTGGCAAGGTCTATTAAACATGTATTTTATTTCGGTTACGAGTTAACTTCCCGAAATCAATTTCACTTCGCCGAAGCTATAATACTGACTAACAAGATATTTCATTTTATCGAAATATAATTTAATCGATAATAAATTTCCCAATAAGTAATTTACCTGCAATTTCCATTCCACCAAATATTAAAAAAAAAGAATGTCATTTTTAAAATTCTAGGACATCTGATAAAAATTAGCCGAATGATTTTTATAATTTCAGCATAATAAATTCAAATTGATATACTGTATATAATTTAAGATCCGGTAACTAATGTAAATATTACAAGACTTTAGTACGTGGTTATGGTACGATTTCTCGAAAGCCATTTTCTCGAAAGAACATAATACCTACCGACTAAATCGGCCAGCATTATAGCTAATGCTTACTAACTTTGTCGGCATAGCCCTACCTTTTCAGGGAAATATCCTTTCGGAAAAAAGTCTTATCAGGGAAACTGGAGTTCAGAGAATGAATTTTGTCGATGAAAAAGACTGTTGGTAAGCTTCTTGCGGAAGCTCGGGTTGTCGGTAAAAATTTCTATCGGTGAAACAAACTGTCAGAAATATATCTTGTCTGAAGAAAGGGATAGTATTTAGGGAAGGTGGTTTCAGGAAAGCGTACGTTTTATTTTTCATTTTTATTATGAAGATACGCCATTTTAAAACTTAAATATCTATAAATTAGAAATGGCTTTAATATTGTCAACTCATTATTTTATATTGTTTTACAACAGTTAGTACCGTTTAGCAATGTATACAACAATATCCCTATACTTGCCAGTAAAGCCTCTAAAGTTGGATGGACTCGTGACAATTTTATTATGTTTGGGATTTGATTAGGATTTGAAATTATGTTTCGGTAGCAGGTGTAAACACTCAGAAAATAGTACTCCTAGATTAGAACATACAGTATAAAAGATCCCTTTCCCTTGATATACCAGAGTTGGGAATGTAAAAGACCCAGGATCTATTGACCACTAATTTTATATATATAACAAGCAGTAATCTTTTTTCTACCATATCCTCCTTTCCCGTCTATAATATAGGGTTTTAACTATTCTCTAGTTTATATGGCAATTTACAGTATTCGGATATTTTTCAAAGTCGACCCTTGTAAAAGTTGATTAAACCCGGGCACTAAAGAGAGTTTTTAATGAAATAAAATACATTATGTATATAACGTATAAGTTTCAAGTATAATGCGCATATAACGGTAATGATTGGACCCAGGTGGGTGTTACTCGGTTCACACACGTAGAGATTAGAATCGTTTAGTCGACTAAACAATCTGTATAATAAACTATGTTTAATCGACTAATTAGTCGACTAAACCAATTCCAATCCCCTCACACACGATGGTAGGTGATCCGGGCTCAGTGGTAATCTATATGATAGTGGGTGGGTCAACCCGCGGATCAAGCCAAGAGGTTAGCAATTGTATCTGCGGCAACTCTTCAACTATTTTATTTGCTTCAAAAATTGCTTCTACATGTATCTGCAAATGCCTGTGCCAGGCACATTGGCATTGTGCCAAAAGCAAGTGCCCGTGCCATGTCTAGTACCATTGCCCAAATACGTGCCAGCATTTTTAGGCAAGCACTAGATGCCGTGCCCGTTCCGGGCAAAATTTGTTAATATAAACAGTGATGTAGTTTGATAGCTTATATTCACAGATCAATCACGGCAACCACGATTGATCGAAATAAAGATCTCAACCAATGCTTGAGCGGCCATTATCTATTCTATACAGTTTATTAAATGCTATCGAAAAACTTTGCGAATACAAGAAATCATAAGGAATACCAACTGGCTGCTTTAATAAATCTATTATTCTAATAGTCATAAAATTTTGATAAGTCAATACAACAAAAAGATGGTCTGTGATAAAATGCTTGTTTCTGAGAATAATAAATAACATGTTCCATATTGTAGTTGAATATTCTATATATTTTTAATATTATATATTGTAATTAAGCAGGATACTATTAGATATAGAAATAGATAATTTAGTTTTGTGTTTAGCTATAGTTAGATATTGTGAAAGAATTAAATTATATATAGTTCTAGAAAGTATAATATTATATATACAGTATAATATTGCTGTCAATAAAAATAAAGACAAATTAATAGCTTAAAAAAATATAACGTCTTACTGTAATTTTTATATATAAATTGCATTACATTATACTATAATCACTCTCTGGTTTACTAGTAAATTACCAATTAAGATCTAAGTTTTATTTGAATATAAATTTATTAAAATAGCTTTAAAATTCATCAAGATATAAACTATAAAAGTTAAGTTTTTAAATTTTTTAAAATATTAATTTGCCTTATTTTGATTTTTTTCAACTTAGACAATTACACCAGTGATTATATTTAATAAAGCTGTGAAAAATCTGTAAAACTATTCTTTTCAACTATAGTTTACAATATTAAATCTTAGATTCTGACATCCTGCAGCTGCTTTTATAAATACTTATTAGTAACTTGTCATATTAGCAAAATATAATCAATTAAGATAATATTTTATTAGAAGCTTGTTTAACTACCATCCTATAATAAAATATTATCAACTGATGACATTTTTTTATAAGAAGTAAAAAAAAGAAAAACAACTTAAAAAAATATAGATATAAAGGAATATAATAAAATATAAAACAAGAAAAAAAAAAGAAGTAAAAAAATAAAAAATATAAAAATTTAAGATTTTACTTATACTAAATAGTTATAATTATAAGTCTGTTTTAAGGTATAAAAATTATATATTATTATCTAAACTGGTCACTACTTTAAATTTATATAATTATATAATATATTTAAATAAAAAAGCTTATGAAAAATAAAAAAATAAATTTTTTTGATATTAGTACTATAAAGAGATTAGAAATTAATACTATTAATTTTAAAGCACTGTTTGTTCAAATTATTATATTTGAACTATATAATCTATATGGGCTGCCATCAATAAAAATAAGGCAAATTAACATTTTAAAAAATTTAAAGCATTAACTTTCACAGCTCATATCTCGATGAAGTTTAAAGCTATTTTAATAAATTCATATTCAAAATAAAGCTTAAGATTTAAGCTTTCATTTGAATAGAAATTTATTAAGATAGTTTTAAATTTCATCGAGATATGAGCTATGAAAGTTAAGGCTTTAAATTTTTTTAAAATGTCAATTTGCCTTATTTCTATTGACAGCAGCCCATATGTTTATATTTTATATATATTTATATATTTGTTGTAATAAGTAAAAGTAACTAATACTGACTATTTTGGT